AAGTTATCGATAAAAACGAAAATTTTCTATGAAATAAAAAACAACAAATTTTTTTCATTCCTGTTATATATATTATAACAAATTCTAGTGAATACACAATTCCTGTAAATCGATAAAGTGTTATGTGTCAAATGAAAAAAAATCATTTAAAATGAACCTCAATAAACCTCTTTGATGATTATTATAATTGATGAACACACAGAATCAATTGGAAATAATTTTATCGATTAAAATAGTCATTGTTATCATTGTCATTGTGTCATTATTATCATCATCATCATCATCATCATTATAATGAATTCATGAAATAGACAATTCAATTCAATGTTGATGGTGGAACAACACCAAACAAAAAAAAAAGAGAATCATCAACACCATCATCACCTCCCATTTTGATCGTTATGACCCTTTTCAAAAAAAAAAAAAACAATCAAGAAACAGGAAAAGGAAAACGATTCTCAAATCGATCAATTTACAAGAAACAAAAAAAAATCCTATCACTATTTTTTCCCACTGTTTTAAGCTTATTTCCGCTATCCAGTTGGGTGCAAAAAGTGGTGATGAATCACACGATAACACAAAGATTTATCGATTATTTCATTATTATGAAATAATGAATTGTCATGCTGAGTTTTGATTCTATGAATGAATGAATAATAATAATAAGTGGAACAGAATATGAAAAAAAAGAAAAAAAATTACGTAGTGTGATGACTATAAATATCATATATATATTGATCGAAACCATTATTATTATTATTATTTCGAAGAAAAAAACGAAAAATAGAAAAGACGTTGGTATTCAGAAAAAAAAATTATTCCGAAAAGATTTTCCATTTATTCCATGCATTCATTCATTCATTCATTCATTCAATTCCATTCTATTCTGTACTATTTTAATCTTAACCGATCGGTCAAATTCCTAGAAATCAAAAATGAGTACATTTTTTTTATTATAACGTGGTTTTATTGTGAAAAAGTGAAAAAAAATACACAAGTGTATCATGTTTTTTTTTTCATCATCATCATCATCATCATCATCACGGAATATTCTTGGATTATTTATTTATTATTTATAAATTTCCATCAAAGGAATTCTTCAAAGGAATCGACCGTGAATAGTGAACATTTCTTTTGGATGTGTGTATTTATTAAAATAAACATCAACATCATCATCATCATGGATGAGAAAATGAAATTTTCAACATATTTTTATTCGTTGAAATTTTTGAAAATCAATATAAAAAAAATTTCCAACATAAATAATAAATACATCAATGTAACAAGTAAAATTATTCCGAACAACAACAACAACAAGGACATCAAACATATACAAACGTAGAGAAATTGACACGTCACCATACACATCATCATCATCATCATTAACAACATCATCTAATTAGCATATCATCATCATCATCAACCCATCCTATGGAACCAAAAAAAAAAAAAAAAAAATCTATCCAAATGGAAACCAAATTTATGTACAAAGAATATTCATAATATAATAATAAACATCAACTACTATAGGCAGTGAAACAAAATATAGAGAGTGAATATATATTTAGATAGATAGATAATGTAAATAAACACCAAAAACACACATACACACATGACATTTATATACATAACGTGAGTATATTATTTTATTATCATAAAAGACATTAGATGATGATGAGAAAAATGATATTTGTCAAGTTGGAAAGTAAAAGTTTTTTTTTTATAGACAAAAAAAAACAAAAAGAGAAAGAGAGAAAAAAAAGTTCCTGTAAAAACATCAACAGCTGCACGTTGTGTGTGTGTGTGTGTGTGTGTGTGTGTCTAAACATCTCTACACTTGGAGCCAAATTCCTTGTTCACACACACACGCACACACAAACACAAAAACACATTAGACACACACACACAAGATTCTATAAAGAATAAAAAGAATAAATGTTCATAGAAATCTAACTAATTTAATGAAAGAAATGGAATAATACAAAAAAAAGAAAAAGAAAAACTTTTTTCTCGCTTTTATTCATTTGTTTGGCCTAAAGGACTAAACGAGTGAATTTTCATAGCATTATAGATGCGAAATTTTGAACAAGAATTCTCTTTTCTTGTGCAAAATTACCTGGTGAAAAAAACAACAACAAAACTATATATATAATATTTGAACCAAAAAAAAAAAATTCAATTCGTTCATAATCATTTCATATATGGACAACATCATCACATATAAAAGAGATCAACACAACAACAACAATTATAAACAATAGAGTACGAAAAAAAAGAAAAGAAAAAGAAAAATCAGAATTCAGATTTCATCAGAGAAATACTATAACAAAAAGTACAATAATCAGAAATAATGAGTGCAAGAAGAAGAAGAAAAAAAAATGAGAAATACCAATACAAGGAAAAAAAACGGTACAACACACATAGAAACATTGATTTTTGCACATAAACAGAATCCAAAAGACAGATGTAGGTCAACTAAAATAGATATTCTATACCTATCTATCTATCTATCTAACACACATACCCGCAAAAAATAGACAGGTACACACACATATAAATAATCGTAAAGAAAGTAAATGAATGAATGAATGAACACGAAAACGGTGAAATAGTTCATTATAATAGTGTCTACACCTGTGTGTCTCAAAATTCTGTTATTCTGTTGTTTTGTTTATTCATTACAGGCAAATATGTCTATCATTTAGCTGATTTACCTGGTAGCCTTTTTTTTGATTACGATAATGTATTTCAATGTAACAAACACACACACACACACACACATAAAGAATTGTCATTTGAACAAACAATAAACTTTGGTCGTATATAGAAAAAAAAGACATTTATTAAGAAGCAAAATTCTACAATGTCTGTAATGGAATGGAATGGAATCATTCAATATATATCGATCGAATATATATGGATCGATCCATATATTCGATCGATTTTGGCCATTTTGATGATGATGAACTCTCTCGATACTCGATTTTGCTACACATTCATTTGTATATAACACTGTCTATGTGTTTTGTGTGTGTGTGTGGTTAAATGTGTGTCAAGTATTTTTTTTGTTGTTTTTTCTGTTGTCAATAATTATCATTCTTAAAAATTATTCGGTTAACAGATCGAATTTGTGAGAAAGAAAACAATCGACATTATTTGTTCCTTCTTCTTCTACAACAACAACAACAACAACAACAGCCAGATGGTTTCTGTCTTTTTTTTCATAAATTTCCAGGTAACACAAACCAGGTAATTGAATTTGTTTATTATGAACGGGAAAAATTTCTATTTTACCAAAAAAAAAAAAAAAAAAAATTCCATAAATTCATAATCAACCAGAGAAAAAAAAATTCACCTTCCGGCAAATTAAATCAATCATCAAGCAAACAAACAAACAAAAAAAAACAAAATTTTGAAACCGGAAACAAACAAACGAACAACAAAAACAACAACAAAAATACACAAATAGATCAATCAATCAATTCAATTTATGATTGAAATAAACTATTTGAGAAAGAAAATATAAAATGTTTAAGTTCACACACACACACACATTGTAAAGTTGTAAAAATAAAAAAAAAAAAAAAAATTTATTGCACACACACACACACACACACACACACACACAAACAATCAGGATGTTTCGAACAACAAAACAACAACAAAAATACACAAATAGATCAATCTATTGCACACACACACACACACACACACACACAAACAATCAGGATGTTTCAGGATCTATGGCATAACAACGTAAAGTAAAATGTATTTTGTAGTCATACAGACAGACTTTCATGCATAAAAATATCGATAATGTTATAAACATCGATAAATAAATATATATAGAAAGGTGTTAATTTCCACAAAATACACAGACACACACACACACACACAATTTGCTTACCTTGAATGACAACGTTGTCGTTGTTGTTGTTGTTGTTGTTGTGCTATCGATATGATTTACACACGTAGCGATGCTAAGCAGAGAAAAATTTTTTCTTTCTTTGAATTTTTTTTTTCAACCTTGAATGGATTTTTATTTAATCAATCAATGATGATGATGATGTTTAATGAATTTTTTTTTTTTTTCACAGACATACACACACACATAAAAAAATATCAAAGTTACAGAATAAGTAAAAAAAAAAATAAAGTTAATCACAATTGAATTCACAAACACCGAGAGAGAAAAAAAAATTGGTTGAAGGAAACGGAATTTCCGTAATAAACACACAATACACACATACACACACACACACAAAAACAAACACACACCTAAATGGTGGAAACAAAACAAACAAACAAACAAACAAAAACAAAAACGTGAAGAAAACAAATTTGATTTGATTTGATTGGCAATCAGATGAAAATCAGGTACATATAAATCAAATGATGATCCAATATCACGCAAAATTGATATTATATTCGATTAATCAATGGATGATGATGATGATGAATTCAATCAATTTATTTTATTCAATTCAATTCACAAATGATGAATAGAATCCTATTCGTTGTTGTATACAAAAATAAGATCTGTTTGTATATGTAAGATTGGCAAAAAAAAAATTAACATTTCACATTCCACAACGTGGATGATGAGTATAACGACAACAACGAAAAAAATTTAAAATTGAGCAAGGACAAAAATGTGAAAAACGAAAAAAAAACAGATGAAATAATAGAAATCTTAACAGAATTTTTGTTGCTGAAAAAAGAGGCGTTTTTTTCTCGTCTCGGTGCGACAAGACAAAAAAAAATCAAATAAAAAATGATGATTTTAATTAGGAAGAATCCAAAACAAAACAAAAAAAAAAATTATTCGACTGATTTCCATCACGGTCGATTGGACGAATACAGAGAGAGAGAGAGAACAGGAACAGGTCGAATTCGTAAACACTAAAAATCACTCAGATGACAAATAAACAAAACAAAACAAAAAAAGTGAATTTACACACACACACACACACACACAGACGAATGGTGACACAAATTACCAAGAAGTCGTCGTCGTCGTCGTTATGGATGATGATGGCTGCCAAAATAATCAAACTTTATAATTGAAAGAGTTGAACAGAAACCAAAAATTCTTGAAAATGATATTGTGTGTGTGTGTGTGTGTGTGTGTGTTTACACCACCATCAAAATGTGGAAAGAGATGGAAATTTTTTTTTTATTTCACTTGTCGTTGTTGTTGTTGTTTTTCGTTCGTTTACATTCCATCATCATCATCATCATCATCATTAATGAATGAATGAAATTAAATCGATGGATTGAATGATGCGGCAACAATTTTTCTTCACTATTTTCTTGTTGATTGTGTTGTTGTCATCATCATCATCATCATAATGATAATGCCAATTCATTATAAATGGAAATTAAAAAAAAAATATCGAGGTTGTTGTTATTGTTGATGATGATTTGAAGAATCAAAATTTTTTTTTTTTTTTGGTGATAAAAACTATAGAAAATTGATGATGATAATTGTTCTTTAATTTCATTATCTATAATTCTCGGTTGATTTATTTATTTTTGTTGTGTTGTTGTTGTTGTTGTTGTTGTTGTTCATTCACACAATATACTCGAAATTCGAATCATTTCAATCGTTCTGTGTATGTATGTTTGTTTGTTTGTTTGTTTGTTTGTGTACACGACAATACTATCTATACACATTTCACTCAAATATCATGCGATAATATAATCATTTGATAAAAATAAAAAAAATAAAAATAAAATTTCACTCAACACCAAAAACACATTCACATTTGTGAATTGAATCAAAATTGTATCACATACACACATACAAACTAACACACTTAGAAAAAGAATATATTTAGAACACAAAAACGGGCAACGCCGACGCCGACCACGACTGTTGAGTTGAAAACAACGAAAAAAAGTGAAATCTTTCTTCATTTATGAATGAAAAAAAAACAAAATTTCTTTTCCATGATCATCATCATTGCCGTTGCTGTTGCCGTTGCCGTTGCCAGTTGTTGTAGTTGTTTTCATTTCAAAAAGCAGCGGTAGCGGTAGTAGAAGCAAATATTCATTCATCAATTTATTATATGATGATGCAAAATATGTGAGGGGATTTTGCAGAAAAAAAAAAAACGTTCGTGTGGAATCGTTGTTGGTTGATTTTCGTTGAATATATTTCTCTCTGTAAATGCCAATGCTATTGGTTGGTTGTTATATGTAGCAATGAAGTAAAAAATATAATTTCAAACAGACAAAACGAAAAAAAAAATTGCTACTGCTGCTTTCTCCGATGTGTATAGTGTGTGTGTGTGTGTGATCATAAATACACATCGAATTCGTGGTTTGAGTTTCAAATTATCAATGTGATCTTCAATCTCCGGTGTGTGTGTGTGTGTGTGTGTGTGGTGTTAGTTGGGTGTATATAGAAGTTTGTCCTGTATCTTTTTATCAATCATGCACATGCGTTGATAATTATCAAAAACATTCGAAAAAATTTCTATCCATTTCCTATATCTGTGTTTTGTGTGTATGTGTGTGTTTCATATATTTCCAGGCCATTTTTGTTGTTGTTGTTGTTGTTGTTATATCGATATATATAGAATCCAGTGGTTGGAAATTTTTCCCCTCCCCCACTACTATCCCCATCTCCATTTGAGTGGTTGTTAGCATTATAATCTTCTGTTCTATTATATAATAATCTAGGTTTCTAGGTAATTTTCTTTCTCTTTTTTCCATATATGAAAATGTTGTTCTTTATAAAATAGGAACCAAAAAAAAGGGTCGAGCGATCGATCGATCTATTAATCGATCGATAGGGATCAGTTCATATAGAAAAAAAAAGAGAAAAATGTGCTTGAAACAATCAACTATGGATCATCATCATCATCATCATCATCATTATCATCAGCAACGAGTGAACTCTCTTTATAAAGAAACAAGAGAATTTACAGCGTCGGTGTGGTGACATCACACTTGAATATATAGAATCATCATTTTCTAGTTCCAACAATTGGAACAATTGTCTGTTCAATTGGTTGATTCATTTTTATTGAAACTTTTTCTCTCTTCTTTCAATGGAATCGAAAAGTTCAAAAAAAAATGTTTTTAAAAAAGAATGATTCTTGATTTGCAATAATCATGTCTTCAGTCATTTTTGCAGCGAAAAGCTCAACGGTATAAAATTGACGAAAAAGCTTGAATAGAAGATTGAAAGAACTTTACTCGTGAAAGATGATGATAGAAAAAAAAACTTATATTTTATTGATTAAGAAAAAACTCGTTGTGTGTTTTTAGCCTTCAAAACCAAGAACAGGAAGATATATTGTCCATTAAAAATAACTTGTACATTTTTCAATGAACCAGCCACATCACATGCACGACACGTCTAAATGCAGATCGCAGGTTTTCCTGTTCATATGTTGAATATTTTTCACTTTATTTAAAAAATTAAAATGAATCAATCTCAAAAAGATTTATCATGGTTAGATCGACCGGATATAAACGGTTGTTGCATCGCCTTATGTGTGTGTGGCGAATAAAAACTGTTTAATGAATAAAAAAAAAACATAAAATCTGTTAATAATTTTTAGATAAAATGAATGATTTTATTAAGTTTAATTTGGATTAAAAAAGTGTGTAACATAACAAAGAAAATATGTGTGTGTGTGTGTTTGAAGAAAAGGCATGTTGGTGTGGTGTGACATCAAGTGTCTTGATGAAATGAACAGTGGAGCTTATATATGCTCAAAGAAGGTACATAGTGTATGAAAAGATAAACATGATGAATGTACATGACTGTAGAAATTGTTTTAATACTGACAATAATGATTATAATTTAAAATCACTACTAATACTACTAATAATATGTGATGGTACTTAATAATAATCAGATAAAAATTTGCCAATCATGTTTTGAAATACAATCATCAATTGATTAATCTTATTTACAGGATTATTTTTTATTTTCTCTTGACGCTATGATAATTTCAAAATTGACAATAAAATAAAACAGCACCAACAGTTTCCGTCTTCTTGAATTTTAAATCTTTCAAGGTAGGAAGCGAATCTCCCATGGCCAGAGAGAAATACCTTTCTAGGGTCAAATGTAATACGAGTGAAATTTTTACGATTCACTGCTGGTCGTTTATTTGCTTTTTCAGCTATGTTATGATTCCATACTTTTGAAAAATGAGTAGGGTTAATGATATTTTTTTAAACAAAAATCCGAATCATTTCCGGCACGAATCGTTGAATGTCAAACAAACTTGGAAAATGTTATCCGATATTATTTAAAAAAAAAACAAAACTTGTCTAGCTTTTTTAGTCGCAAAGTTGATGCATTTTTAATCGAAGTGTTTAAAAAGTACTGGGCTGTGTGCCATCAAAAAAGGACGTATGTTTAGACATTATCATGCAACAATATTGTTACATTGTATATGAAGGGTAAAAATAAGAGTTTCGCTTTACGCTCAAAATTTTTGGAACGTAGTTTCCAGCCTTAACTGGAGTAGCAGTGAATTATTTTTACATGGTTCTGTGTCTTTGGTGTAGTGGTTATCATTTCTGCTTTACACGCAGAAGGTCCCAGGTTCGAAACCTGGAAGACACATTTTTCTTTTTTTTATCTTTTTCAAATTGGTAAATTGGTATTGTGTTTTTTTTTGGTTTTTTACCCGAATTTTCCAAAATTCAAATTAGATTCTTAGGTTGAATGGGAAAAATTATTGCAAGCATATGGCAGTCGAAATAGTCGACTATAATAAACTTTGCTGTAGCACGTGGTGCTCACCGATATTATCATTTAACAACATCCAAAATTAAGTTTTATTTGGCGGTAAAAATTTATTGACAGACATTTTAAATTATTCTCTAAATATTTTATTTTATCACTTTTATAGCTGATGAACAAATGATGGCAATCAAAATGAAAATGGGTGGTAAAAAATTCAAATCACAAAAGCGTAAACAAATCAAAAAAGTTAAAATTCCTGAATCAAAAAAACCCAAAGACAACGACATGGATGACGAATGGGAAGAAATCGATGATGATAATAATGATGAATCCGAATCATCTTCACATGATTCGGATGGTGAAGAATCTATTATGGATGCAACAACGCATAAAAAAACATTGGAAAGTTTAAAAGATAAAGATCCAGAATTTTATGAATATCTTCAAAAACATGATAAACAATTGCTTGATTTCAATGACGATCAAGAATTGCCATCGGAAGGTGATTATGATGATGATGATGATGATGTTGGCCAAAATCTTGATGATGAAGATTCAATTGAGGAAACAACGAGAAATGTAACCATTGATAATGTCAAAGAATGGAAACAAATACTTCAAAATCCAACAACAAAAGCCAATTGCCTTATGGCAATTAAATCATCGATCAAAGCATTTCGAAAATCAGTTCAACAAACACAAGATATATCTGATCAAATGTTAATGAAACCAATGGCCGTTATGAATCCATCATTGTTCAATATGATTATCAATACCTGTCTGGTTGATCTATTGCCTGCTATTTCACATTATCTAAGTATAAAAAATGATGATTCACAGAACAAAGATGAAACAATGAAATGTCAATTATTTGATCCACGTCGTTCACGAAATTGGAAACGAATTCTATCATCCATGAAAATTTATTTAACCGATATATTGAAAATGATTTCATCATTATCGATTGAAGCACGGTTATCATTTGAACGTCATGTTCTTGAACTATTACCATATTATCAAGTATTTCCACATCTACTAAAACGAATTATTCGTTATTCAATTCAAGAATGGCATTCAAGCCAAGAAGAACGTTCACGTGTTTTATCTTTTCTTATTCTTTATCGTGCTATTCGTGTTATACGATCGAATAAAAATCATATGACCAATACTGAACTACAAACATTAATCAATCATTTATTACGACAATTATATATGACCTATGCTGTAACATCGAAAACAACCAATGAAATTACTATAACGAAAATTCAATTTATGAGAAATTCACTAGTTGAACTTTATCAACTTGAACCAATGATTTCCTATCAACAATGTTTTATTTTTATGCGTCAATTGACCATAAATCTTCGTAAATCTATAATGGTGAAAGAAAAAGATGCCTTAAAACGTGTTCATAATTGGCAATTTATCCATTCATTGAATCTATGGTCACAACTGATTGGCACAAGTCTTAAACAAAATGACCTATTTGGTCAATTATTAATGCCCGTTACGAATATTTCACTTGAAACATTAAGGTTATTTTCTGCATTCAAATATGTTCCATATAGGCTACAAATTATAGAATCATTAATAAAATTATCATCAGAATCCGATCATTTTATACCGATTTTGCGAACATTCCGTGAAATTATCGTACAATTGGCACAGAATAAAAATGAAATTATTCTTAAGAATAAAATCAAAAACAAAAAGAAGAAAAAAGAAACAAAACCAATGGAAATTGTAAAGAAAAAAGAACCAAAAAGTGCAAACAAAATAATCAATTTAAATGTAACTTTGAAAATATCAAAAGAACAAACATTTGAAATGGATTTCATTCAAAAAGTTGTGGACAGAATCTATGAGTTATTGTTATATTATCTGAAATCTATTTCACATCTAATATCGTTTCCGGAAATTATTCTCATATTTCATGGAGAATGTAGTAAACTAATCAAATCAATACCATATGCTCGTGGTCAGACAATGATGAGACAATTGATGGATAAATGTGATAAAAATGCCCAATTCATTGTTGAACACCGTGAAAAACAAAACCTAAGTGGAAAGCTCAAAGAATTGATTGATCAACAAAGAATCGTTAGTGTTTATATTATCTACATTCTGTGATTAATTTTTATAAAATTTTCTTTGTTTTTAAACAGGAATTATTTGAGAATGAAATACGAAATCTAAAAACGCCACTGGTTGAATTCTATGAACAATGGCGTCAGTTCAAATCCAAACAATCTACATCAGAAACTAACGAAGAAGCTCCGTTGGAATTAGCGAAAGATGCACTATCCACTTCTGTTGTACGTGAATTCGATATCGGACAAGATATAGAACATGAAAGTGATGATGATGATGATAATGACCAAGACGACAAAGAACTAGATGAATCTGAACTTGATGAACTTGACATGGATAACGACGACGGTGATGATGATGATGATGATGATGATGATGAAAGTATTGAAGAATTTGGTGAAAATGATAAAGTTGAGCTAACCGAAGAACAAATGAAAAAACTCCAGGATAAAATTGAAAAGGCTGAACGAAAATTATCGAATAATAAACGATCCAGACCATCAGATGATGACGATGATGATAAACCAAAGAAAAAGAAACGAAAACGTTCGAAAAAGAATAGGAAAAAAGCTCGTGGACTTAATCCAAATCTTGACCTAGAAGGAGCATTTGATTTATCGTCCGATGAGGAATGATTTTTATTGTTTTAACTTGAAAATCAAATTGATTGTCAAAAAAAATCGCTGAGAAATTTTCCGGAAACATTTTTTTAAAAGTCGTAATTCTTGAAAAAAAAGTTTTCATGAAATTTGAAACCATGGTTTTTTTTGTTGTTTGTATTATTATTCGATATAATAATTTGCACGTGCAGCAGCACATTTGATTGTTGTTGTTGTTGTTGTTATGTGAATCGGTAGATGTATATGAAAACAAAATTGGCACGACAACATTCTTTAAATTTTATTTAATGCAAAAATAATAATTTAAAAATAAATCGACCATATTCAAACAGATATCAACATTCATTTTTTTTTGTTGTTGTTGTCATAAATTCCAACGAAAAAAACAATCGAAAATACTCAATTCTTGCAAGTCATTATTGTATTATTTAGATACTCAAAGTGAAAAAAAATCTGCAGGTTTCAATTGGATCAATAAACAAACAGCCCATTTATCCTTATCAATATTATCAGCACTTTTTTTTATTGTGGTTATTGCACACACACACAAACAAAACTAAAAAAACGCTACGGTAAGACGAATAAAATTTGATTTAGATTTTAATTCATTGATTATTGTAATTATCAATCAAAAAAAAAAATTACGATAAGATCATGATGGACTGATTTTTGAAATATAATCTTTATCCTTGATCAAGGACTTTTTTCACATTCTTTTACATGTTCGGTGTCTGCATTTTGTTATTTGAATTCAGTGTTTTTTAGAGTTTATTGTAATTTTGATTTTTCATTTTTTCATTTTAGATATAAACCATTCTGTTGTGATTCTGATTGTCCATTCATTCTAGCTACAATGTCACAAGAAGAAAAGTATGTCCTAGTTATCATGTTACAAGTATAGTGAATTTAATTTTGATTTTTTTTCCTTATTATTGTTGTCACAGATCAATTCTTGGCCTTGGAAATCCATTATTGGATGTTATTGCTACTTGTAATGAAGATTTTCTTAAAAAATATGATCTCGAAGCCAACAATGCCATTTTGGCTGAAGCTAAACATGAAAAACTTTGTGCCGATATGAGTGAACAATTTAAGGTTCAATATTTAGCCGGTGGTTCGGTACAGAATTCGATGCGTGTTGCACAATGGTTTATGCCACGACCAAATGTATGTTCATTTTTTGGCTGTGTTGGTGAAGATGATTTTGCCAAACAAATGAAAAGTAAAGCAGATGAAGATGGTGTAAACGCTGTTTATATGGTTGATCCGAAAACAGCTACCGGTACTTGTGCCTGTTTGATCACTAAGAATGGTAAATGTCGATCATTATGTGCATATCTTGGAGCATCACAAAAATTCTCAATCGATCATGTACATAAAAATTTCGATTACGTTGAATCGTCACGTATATTCTATGTTTCTGGTTTTCATTTGATTATCAGTTTGGAACCAACACTATTATTGGCTAAACATGCACATCAATTTGAACATAAATTGTTTGTAATCAATCTTTCTGCACCGTATATTTCTCAATTTTATTCAGAACAATTACTTCAAGTTATGCCTTATGTAGATCTATTGTTTGGTAATGAAACTGAAGCTGAAGCTTTTGCTAAGATGCAAAAATGGGAGGTAAGTAAATTGAATGAATGAATTTTGCATTGCGGTGAAATTAATATATATTTTTTTGTTCACACTAAACACTAGACAAATGATATGAAAATTATTGCTCAAAAATTGGCTGATTGGCAACCATGTCATCGTCCACGAACAGTTATTGTAACACAAGGAAAAAATCCCATTATTGTTGCCTATACAAATCAACGACTACCAATGGAAATGTTTACAGTTCCATTATTGAATGATAATGAAATTGTCGATACTAATGGTGCTGGTGATGCATTTGTTGGTGGATTTTTAGCTTATCGTTTGGCAGCCAAACCAATGGCCGAATGTATAAAAGCAGCTACTTTTGCTGCACAAGAAGTGATTAAACAATCTGGTTGCGTTTTTCCTAAAGAAAATCGTATGAAACTTGTTTAAATGAAGACACAGACAGAAAGAAAGAAAAAATGAAAAACTTATAGATAAATCTTCTTTTTTAAAATTCTAACATGAATGGACCATTATTATTATTGAATTTTTTTTTCTAGCTTCTTGTTGTTGTGTTTGATTGTAGTAGATTTGTTTATTATCAAATTTCGGAAATAATAAATATTTTTATTTCATTCATATCTTATGACAACATTATGTTGTTGTTGTTGTTGTTGTTGTTGTTGTTATTATTTTTTTCTTGATTTCAATTTTTATCATCATCATCATCATCATCGTTTATATTTAACTAATAGTAATAAAAATCATAAGATCTTATCTTGTCAATAAAGAAAACTGTGTGTACCAAATATTTGTAATCAATCACTATATTTATCCATAAATCATTCGTTCTAGTTTATGTTTTTCATCAAAGTCAAAGTTATTATTAAAATAGTTTTGAATTTTCTAAATGTCCACAATATTGAAAAATAATTTTAATTCGGCCATCATTGGCATTGGTCATCCATTATTTGATCTTATCGTTACGAATGTTGATCAAGAATTTCTTCATCGTTATCAACTTGAATCTGATAATGCAATATTGGCTGATAATGAACGTCATCAAATTTTATGCGATGAATTGATTGAAAATTTTAATGATATTCAATTCGTACCAGGTGGTTCAATACAGAATACTATACGTGTTGCACAATGGTTTTTTGATCAACCAAATGTATGTACAATTTTTGGCTGTATAGGTAATGATGATTTTGGTCATCAAATGAAATGTAAAATTGAACAAGAAGATCACGTTAAATCCATTTATTGTATTGATAATACAAGACCTACAGGCAAATGTGTTTGTTTGATTAACGTTGATTCAAATGGTAGTCATCATCGATCATTGGTCACATTTCTAGACGCTTGTCATGGTTTCCGTATGGAAATTCTTCAACAAAATCTTTCATTATTCAATAATGCACGTATTATTTATACATCTGGATTTTTTTTGATTTCAAATCCTGATTGTGTACAATTGTTGGCCGAATTATGTCGAAAATCATCAAACGATATTAAATTTGCTTTGAATTTATCTGCATCGTATGTGGTGAAAAATCATTCACAACGTTTACTACAAATTTTTCCATACGTAGATCTTTTATTTGGAAATGAAAACGAAGCCTTCGCATTGGCCGAAACACTTGAATGGGATAAAGATGATAAAATTGATGATATTGTGGAAAAAATGGCCCATCTGGAATCAAAGAAAACCAATCGAACAGTGATCATTACACAAGGACCAGACGAAATCATTGTTGTATCAACCAATTCTTTTGTTCAAAAATTTCCTGTACCATCAATACCAACCGGTGAGATTATCGATACTAATGGTTCTGGAGATGCATTTGTTGGCGGATTTCTTGCCTACCATCTGACCGGACATTCAATGATCGATTGCATCAATGCTGGCACATATGCAGCACAACAGGTGATACGATGTTGTGGTTGTACATTGCCCGAATCCAACGAACTTCGATTATCAAATTGATCAATTTTTATTACCATTATTATCAACAAGTTTTTTTTTTTTACTTGGTCACAATAATAAATCAATTATAATGATATCATGGCATTATGTTTGCACGTGATAATAAAAATTCTAGATTAATCCTCTTGAAAATAATAATGAGTACCGTTTTTTTTAGTGTAATAAAATAAAATAACAAAAAAATGAGTGCAATCCATTTTTTGCAATCAACAACTGAAAATCATTTGTTATCATACAAACCGTTTTGTCATAATTATCAAACGTAAAACATTACGGACATGTCGGTTTCGCATATAATCTATACACGATATGATCCGTTTGTATGCGGTAATTGTATTGGATTATGGACAAATGTCATGATCAAAAATTTTGATCTATTTATGACCAATTTTGGTATGAATGATTTAATAATTTATGGCATTTTTTTCTGCTGACAAAAAAAAATAGGGTACAAACCTGTTTTTCACCCGTTTTTCAAAAATAGTAATCGATTAAAAACCAGAAAAAAAAAAAAACCACGTGAATAAACTATGTGGTTCGCTAATTGTTGTTGTTGTTGTTGTTGTATTACATTTTAATGGCTTACAAATTTCAAATGAAATTCATTATCAATTGTTTGCAACGATTGTCAACGGAAAAAAAACATCCATTTATGGATTATAACAAGATGCAAAAAAAAAAAAATATATGGATCATAAAATAATAAATTACATCACAAATGCATCAATGGGATAATAATTAATTTCGATGTAATTCATTGTCTTTTGTTGTTGTTGTTGTTTTTTTCTGGATTTTAATTTTTTTTTAATATAAAAATGACCGAAAAAATTTGTAACCATATCATCATTCATTACTAATTAAGTTTTTAATCATAATTCCAAAAATAAATCGACAAATTAATCAGCTTTTTTGTAATTGTTAATTAATCATTCGAAAAAAAGGATGAAAGCAATCATAGCTTTATCCATCATCATAATCATTGTTTCATTCGTACCGAATGATGTTGATGCTGGTAAATTTAAATGTCCACAACCATTTGGTTATTATGAACATGAAAATTGTTGGCAATTTTATCAATGTTCATGGTATACACCGCATGTAATCACTTGTCCACCGTTTACACAATGGGATCAACGAATTCTTACTTGTCGATGGCTCACCGATTGTGAACGACCATCGTTTTTTCCGACAACTACTCGAAGACCAACAACCACAACCCGTCGTCCAACAACCACAACCAGTCGACCAACAACCACAACCCGTCGACCAACAACCACAACCAGTCGACCAACAACCACAACCCGTCGACCAACAACAACAACTCGGGCTCCGACAACGACCTTAAAGCCAACAACAACAACACGGGCTCCGACAACGACCCTAAGACCAACAACCACAACAAGTCGACCAACAACTACAACCCGTCGACCAACAACAACAACTCGGGCTCCGACAACGACCCTAAGGCCAACAACGACAACAACACGAGCTTCAACTACAACCCGTAAATCAGATAATTCTCGTTTTGAATGTCCGAAAGCAAATGGCCGATTTAAACATAAAGAATGTTATAAATACTATCAATGCACACAATGGAATGCCATTGAAATGACATGTCCAAAAAGTACACAATTCGATGAAAATCAACAAGATTGTGTTCCAATATACGATTGTCCAAGACCAGCATTAGGATACAGTTGTCCAGAACCAGCTGGGTATTTTCCACATGAAAATTGTTGGATGTTCTATCAATGTGGTAATGGAATCGGATATGAAATGGTTTGTCCAAAAGGAACTCAATGGAATCAGGCAATTTTGACTTGCGATCATTTGAGTGATTGTGAACGACCTGATATCGGTGGAACTACAACAACATCGAATCATAATCAAACAACAACTACAATGCCCACTACATCAACTCCTACCACAATTAGATCCACGACCATTAAGTCAACCACATCGAATGATGATGATGATGATGATGATGATGATGAAACTACAACAATGAAATCAACTACCGTACAAGAATCGACAACTTCAAACAATGAAGACGACAAAGAAACCACAACCATTGAGTCAACAACATCGAATAACGATGATGATGATGATGATAATGAAACTACAACAATAGAATCAACTACCGAACAAGAATCGACAACATCAAACGATGATGATGATGTCAACGAAACCACAACTATGGAATCGACAACAGAACAAGAAACGACATCTAATGATAACGACAACGATGATGAAACTACGACTGTGGAATCGACAACAGAACAAGAAACCACGACATCTAATGATAACAACAACGATGATGAAACCACGACTGTGGAATCGACAACAGAACAAGAAACCACGACATTTAATGATAACGACAACGATGATGAAACTACAACCATTGAATCCAGCACAGAATCGGAAACAACCACTAAAGGTGGTTTTCAATGCCCTGAACCATCTGGATATTATGAACATGAAAATTGTTGGATGTTCTACCAATGTGGAAATGGCATTGCTTATGAAATGACGTGCCCAAAAGGCACTCAATGGAATCAGACAATTTTAACCTGCGACCATTTGACTGATTGTGTACGACCCGATATGGATAACCCGAATGACGACTACAACCATTGAATTGACTAATGATAACGACAACGATGATGAAACTGTGGAACGACAACCGACTATGACGATGAAACCACGACTGTGGATCGACAACAGAACAACCGATTAACGACAACGATGATGACGAAGAAACTACAACCATTGAATCAACAACAGAACAAGAAACAACAACATCTAATGATAACGACAACGATGATGAAACTACAACTATGGAATCGACAACAGAACAAGAAACAACCACTTCTAACGACTATGACGATGAAACCACGACTGTGGAATCGACAACAGAACAAGAAACCACGACATCTAATGATAACGACAACGATGATGAAACTACAACCATTGAATCCAGCACAGAATCGGAAACAACCACTGAAGGTGGTTTTCAATGCCCTGAACCATCTGGATATTATGAACATGAAAATTGTTGGATGTTCTACCAATGTGGAAATGGCATTGCTTATGAAATGACATGCCCAAAAGGCACTCAATGGAATCAGACAATTTTAACCTGCGACCATTTGACTGATTGTGTACGACCCGATATGGATGAAACAACAACCGATTCGAATGACGAAGAAACTACAACCATTGAATCGACAACAGAACAAGAAACGACAACATCTAATGATAACGACAACGATGATGAAACTACGACTGTGGAATCGACAACAGAACAAGAATCGACAACATCTAATGATAACGACAACGATGATGAAACTACAACCATGGAATCCAGCACGGAATCGGAAACAACCACTGAAGGCGGTTTTCAATGCCCTGAACCATCTGGATATTATGAACATGAAAATTGTTGGATGTTCTACCAATGTGGTAACGGAATTGCCTATGAAATGACGTGTCCAAAAGGCACTCAATGGAATCAGACAATTTTAACCTGTGACCATTTGACTGATTGTGTACGACCCGATATGGATGAGACAACAACCAACGATGTACAAGACAATGAAACGACAACATCAAACAATGAAAATGAAGAAGAAACGACAACATCAAACAATGAAAATGAAGAAGAAACGACAACATCAAACAATGAAAATGAAGAAGAAACGACAACATCAAACAATGAAAATGAAGAAGAAACGACTACGGTAGAAATAACAACCGAAATCGATTTGACAACTATCTCCGATGATAATAATAATGATGATGATGATCAAGATACGGAAACAACTACTGAGAATGAAACAACAACAACTTCTCATAATCAATTTGAATGTCCTGAATCCAATGGATATTATCCACATGAAAATTGTTGGATGTTTTACCAATGTGGTAACGGAATTGCCTATGAAAAGACATGTGCTAATGGCACTCAATGGAATCAGGCAATTTTGAATTGCGATCATTTAACTGATTGTGTTCGACCATAATCCAAGAAAACAAAATGAAATCATATAAAAAGTTATTGTTATCTTATCATTGAAATTTTTTTTTTGCTATTAAATTTCTATTTTTTTTATTGTTGTTTAAAACCAAAAAAGTGATGATACAATTGATTATGTCTATCTTTGTGTATAGATTTAGATGCGTAGATTAGAGATGTGCTATTGATAGCATATTGACGCAAACAATCATGGATCAATCAATTGATTAATCGATGTCACCATAATTGAATAGTATATAAATGATATTGATTTCCATTGATCAATACAAATCATTAATTAATCAAAAAAAAAAAAAAAAAAAATCCAACGTTGACACCAAAATATCAATATTCTCATAACCATTTTAAAAATGAAATTCAACATAACTATCGCTTTTGTTTCATTGGCCATTTTGAGTTCATTCATCATATGCTGATATTGATCATTTCGATAATGATGATCAGAATAGTTCCACATCTAAACCTGATGATGATCCTACCACCATGATTGATGTTCAAACTACGACAGTACAACCGAGTTCCATGCCAACAACATCAGAATCTCAATCAACGGTAAAACCAACTACAACAACGGTAAAACCATCTCCAACAACGGTAAAACTAACTACAACAACGGTAAAACCAACTACAACAACGGTAAAACCAACTACAACAACGGTAAAACCATCTCCAACAACGGTAAAACTAACTACAACAACGGTAAAACCAACTACAACAACGGTAAAACCAACTACAACAACGGTAAAACCATCTCCAACAACGGTAAAACCAACTACAACAACGGTAAAACCATCTCCAACAACTACTACTACTACTACTACTGAACAACCAGAAGATGAATTTGAATGTCCAACAAGATTTGGTTATTTTGCCGATCCGAAAGATCCATGTAAATTTTATATTTGTTCAAATTGGGAAGCTATACATAAAAGTTGTCCAGGTAATACAAGATGGAATGAAAAAGAATTAACATGTACATAATAATTGTAATATTGTCCACAATGATGATTGTAGTTGTCTAAAAATGTCATTTTTCATAATAATCATAAATTTGATTTTTTTTATATATATAAATTCTTTTACACATTTTGTATGCTAATATCCCTAATCTACCTATGTAATTGATCAATCAAAATACAAATATTTACAAAATAAAAAAAATAAAAATAAAAATGTCAATCACATAAGTATTTTGATTATATAAAAGTTATAAATCACCAAATGAGAAAAGGAATCGATGAAAATTTTCTTTGCAGCCTATTTAAATCGACTGCAAACAATCGAATCGAATGCATAGATCAAATCAAATTCCATTCTCTTCTGACTATTTTTGAATTTACAGTAAAAAAAACAAGTGAACAGAAAAATTTTCGTTTCATCGAAAAAATGTACAATTCATTTCGTCAAATTATATGGACCATTATTGGTTTCATGGTGATCATCCAATTGATTGAACAACAGCCATCCGTACAATGTGGTGGTGGTGGTGGTGGTGGTGGTGATCAACATTCAGCAACTACACCACATCATAATCAACCAAGTCATCCACGTTTTCTTTGTCCTGCACAACATGGACGTTTTGCATGTCGTATTGATCCAAAAAATATTATCTTTGTGATAATTTTGTACCATTTTTGCTCGATTGTCCAGGTACATTATTTTTTGATAAAACAATAAAAGATTGTAAATCCGCTGGACATTTTGTATTGGGCACAACAGCTAAGCCAAAACATTGAAATGTTACAAAAAAAATCATGGTTTAGATCTAAAAAATTGAAATGAAAACAAATAAATTATCAATTATGTTATGAAAATTTTAATAAAAAAAAATTACCTTTTTAATTTACGAAAAAAAAAAATTTATTGTGCAATCATTTTATAGAAAAATGTTGATGAATCAGACATCAATGATTTTGGTGTATCAAATTCAACGATTTGTCCTTGATCAAGCACTAGGATTTGATCATATGATAGAATTGTTTTCAAACGATGTGCAATAGTCAACACTGTACAATGGACAAATTCATGATGTATGGTTTCCTGTACTAATTTATCGGTAGCCGGATCAATACCAGCTGTAGCTTCATCCAATACAAGAATTTGAGATTTTCGTAATAATGCACGTGATAAACAAAGTAATTGTTTCTGTCCAAATGATAAACGATTCAATTGTTGATCAATCGATTGATCTAACATTGTGATCATATGGCCAAGATTAGCTTTTTTCAATGCAATGATTATTTGTTCGTCCGTATATTGATTGAATGGATCAAGATTATTACGTAGTGTTCCAGCAAACAATAATGGTTCCTGTGGAATTATCGTCAATGTTGATCGTAATTCATGTAGATCAATTTCATGAATATTTCTATTTGAAATACGTATAGCACCGGTTTCAGCATCGATCAATCGAAATAAAGCCAATGCAAATGATGATTTACCAGCACCTGTACGGCCAACTATGCCGACTTTCGTTCCGGATGGAATATACAGATTCAGCTGTTTCAAACACAATGTCGAAGAATTTTGATATCGTGCTGAATATTGAAAAAATGAAATTGAACCATCCGTTGGCCAATGATTTTGATTAGTTTGACTACTGGAACAAAAAACTACACCGGTTGGCATTGTATCGGCAACAATTTCTGAAATCAGAAAATTTCGAAACAATTTCTTATGGAGAAAATTTTTGATAAAATTGAAGAAATTTTTCCTCTTTGTTATTGTTTCGGTCATGTCACTTTGTTTATGATGATGCCAATCATCTTCTTGTGGTAGATTGGTATATTCAACCAATCTTTCAACTGTTACGACATTGTTTTCCAATTCAATGGATGATTGTAGAAGAAAATTCAACGTACCAGTTATGGACAATGAACTAGTGATACAAAGACCAACCATACCAGGTGAAATATGACCACGAAGCAGTACACAACTTAATGATGTAATCAAAACAACAATATTACCAAGACATTCTAATCGAACGGTAAGCCATTTTGCAGCAGCAATACTCATATGCATTGCACTAGTATTCATATCAATGTTTTTGTAGATTTTTCTAAGAAACATTTCTACACGTCCAAATGCCTGTATAACGGTTACACCTGTATATGTTTCATTGAATTGTTGATAAATCGGCGTTCGTAATGTTGACTCAATACGCATCAATTGACGTGATGTTGAAACATAATATTTATAGATGAGAATATAACAAATGATTAGTGGTAAAAATATTCCAATTAAAATTGGTGAATCAGTTCCGGTAACAATGATGGTGAATAATGCACATGCACGAAATATTTCAATCATAAATAATCGAAGTGATGATATCAATGTCGTATCGGCTAGATCAATATCTTTGTTAAAACGATTCAATATTTGGCCAGAATTTGCTTGATCAAAAAACCATATCGGTGCATGCATTAATCGATATAACATTGACCGATGTAATCGTTGTGATCCACGAAGACAAGCTAATTGTAGTAATAAAGTGGCAATCAAAATGAATATCGTTTGTCCGAAACCAAGTATTGCATAAACATTCAATCGTGTCCATTGGTTAATAGATTCTAATGGATCAATTAATCGTAATCGAATCAATAGATTATTCATCCATAAATTATCTTCAATTATTATTGAGCTATTCGATGATGATGATAATGGTATTTTAGAATCATTACTCCACGAACTTAGCCAAACATTGGTCAATACAACAAAACAGTATCCAAATGTATAGCTGGATAATATCAATGCCAAAGGCAATAATCCAATAGTTCGAATGTAATACCAATAAATTTTCAACGATATTGAACCAGTACGAGCCTTGGTTTCACTGTAATCTGTTTTCAATTCAAATTCTTTTTTGGGGTAATTTTTGAAAAATTTTTAAAAATATTTTTTCTTTTCTTTTTATTATTATTATTTTTTGTCTGCTTTTTCAATCAAATGATTTTTAGATAACGAAATTCTTTTCATCACACTACCACGTCGTGTAAATGAAGCAAATTGTCGCTCTAATCGTTGAGCCATTTCAACGAGAATATTATAATTTTCTTCTTCATCGACTATCAAACTATTACCATAATCATCATCATCATCATCATAGATAGTTTCATTTGTTGAATGTCTAATATCTTTAGTTATTGATGAGAAATAAGTAGTTAGAAATTCAGTAAATTCATTGTCCATGTTGATCAAATCCTGATAGTTTCCTTGTGCAACGATTGAACCTTTTTCCATGAGAACAATATGATCAACATTTGGTAACAAAGCCATATTATGTGTAGTAAACAATCGGATTTTGTTTGCCAATAATCCACGATTACTAATAACACGTCGAAATACATGACGAGAAACTTGTGAATCAAGTGCCGATAATGGATCATCAAGTAGATAAAGATCAGCATCTGAATAAACAGCTCGTGCTAACGAAATTCGTTGCCGTTGACCACCACTTAGATTATCACCTTTTTCACCAATCAATGTTTTATCACCATCAATCATTTGTTTAATATCCTCCAACAATGCACAGGCATCAATAACTTTCCAATATCGGATTGGATCGAATTCATTTCCAAATAGGATATTCTCACGAATGGTTCCAGATTGAATCCAAGAATTCTGTGGAACATATGCAATTCTTCCTTGAATATGACACATACTTCGATAGAAATCATTGGGCTTCAAATTCATCTGGCCTAAAATGGCTGCCAATAATGATGATTTACCCGCACCAATTAAACCAACTATCGCACATAATTGTGGTCGATTAATATTTACATCAATATTATTCAATCGAAATGATGATGATCCAATATGTTGAGACCAAGAAAATTGACAATTTTGTAACCGAATTTGTGGACAAGTTTTAACGCTATTGGTCACTGATGATATCGCTATCTGATATTGTTTATTATTATTATTTTTTGGTAGTTGAATTGTATTGACATCATTGTTATCATTGATAAAATCACTGATGCGTTTCAATGAAACTAAAAACATCATCGAATTAGTGATTAATTGTGGTATAAAGGCTACTGGACGTCGAATTATATTGAATATGGCTAATGATACGAATGCTTTCTGGGCATCTAAATTTTCATTAACCGTATTTGCATTAATGTATAGAAACAATGAAAAACTGGATAATGCAACGAAAAATGGTGCCGATGTGAATGCAAATGAAATGGCAGTCGAATACAATGCTTGATGACGAAGATTTAAATATTCTAATTGTCTTGATTGATCGATTCGTTTATGGAAAAAATCTTCCCATGCATACAGTTTTATTGCTCTTATTCCATTCAATGTTTCGGTCAATGATTTAATTCTTCGATCTTTATATTCAAGTAATTTTGATTGTAATGATCGTATTCGAGCTCCAATAAACATATTAAATGGTAACAATAGTAATAATACGGCCAATCCAGCTAATGATGCATATCCAAGTAGTTGCCATAACATAAATATAGCAATGGTAATTTGAAGTGGACAAATCCAGAATAGATTGACATTCTTAACATATTCAAAAATACGTTGTGTATCAGTTGACATAAGATTAACAATTTGTCCAGATGTATTTAAAGTTTGTTTCCGTTTTAAATTTGTATTCATTGTCATATTGCCGATATTTTTCGACAAAAGTAAACGTCTATAAATAGAAGCCGTTAAACATGAACGTATTTTTAATGCCAATATCATTAGTTGATAATCAGAATAAGAATTCAATATTGATTCATTCACAAACAAAATGAACATAGCGATTACATAGAAATATCCATGCCATTGTGGTTGTTCATTATCGATTATCGATGATGTAGTAGTAGTAGTAGTAGTAGTAGTAAATTTGATCAAACGATCTAATAATAATGGACCAATAAACGTAGTCAATGTTGGTATCAATTTAATGAATGAAATTCGAATAAATTCACCACCAAATTGATAGATTAAAATTCTGATCAATTTAAATGATTTTGAATATTTATTTGATTGTTGAATAAGCCAACGATAGAAATAGCTTTCCACATGTTCAACAGGTATGGATGTTGGAAATATATCTTCAAAAGTTAATGGTCGACGATAACCACAGAAAATTGTATGGCTCATCCATATATAAATTGTTCGACCAATCAATGTTGCATTCGATTCTGGATGTACGGAAACAATTGGTTCAAAATCGGGTAAATAACAACAAAAAAATTGTAACGTAAATAGTATTGCATAAAAATAATTGAAATGCATCCAGATAATGCTGGTTTTGTAACGAAAATCATGATCATCATCATTGTGATTGGATATAATGATCTGATTATGGAAATCTTTATCATACGACGATAATTGATGTTTATCAAATAAAAATTCTGATGATTGCCAATGACATGTTGAACAAATTTTCCATATAGAATATCCATCACTATCTATGTGAATGTATAATGAAATAATATTCCATACGAAATTCAACATTGATATGAGCCAATAAAAGCAAATGAATTTTTGTCTTTGTCGATTTACCGATGGATTAACGAACATGTAATAGATTGCAAATAGCTATTAAAACAATGAAAAAAAAAATGAAAATGAAAATTCAAAATTATTGAAAACATTGAAGAAAACTTACCGTACAAACTAATGACAAGAAATTTGAACAAAAATATGGTAATGCTTCACCGAAAACATCATATTTATATAGAGATAAAATTATGGAAATTTCCACCAAATATGTAAAGACAATTATTCCGGATATGATCTGATTGCAAATTGAATGAGTTTTTATTTTTCATTTTTTTGTTTGTTTAAATTGAAAAAGACTCACTTTTTTAATTCTATAATATCTAGTTGTTTGATATGAATCATGTGTGGTAAATTTTGTTGATCTATAATCACTGACAATTATTGAATTTCTATTCTGATCATATTGATGATTAAATTTATTATCATTATCATTATGATTGGATGAATAATCAATTTTTGACTGATGAATTTTGACGCCAAAACAATTGATTACAAATGAAATGAATTGTTGAATGAAAAAAATTGATAAAAATCCTATTAAACTAGCTTCATGATGAAAGCACAGAATGATACGTAAAAAGTTGAGATTAATATCAGATCGATGATGATGATGATGATCTTGACCGTTGAGATCAATGTTGAACAATGATTTTAGATTAAATATCAATGGTTCCGTTACATTTTTCAATAGATATCCATTATGTCGTATGGTAGTCGATTCATTCATTTGATCCGGAATCGAAAACGGATCATAAGAAATGTAGCAAATATCATTCATTTTGAAAGCTAAAGTTTTTCACCAGTTGCTGTGCTTTGTGTGTGTGTGTGTGCGGAACCAATAAAAAATGAATGAATGAATGAATGCAAAAAAAAATCAAGTTGAAAGAACAAAAAACGGTGGGAAAAGATAAAAAAAAATTTGCAATTCAAGTGGCCACCATTAACCATCATCGAGTAAAAAAAAAACACGAAAAATACAAATACAGGTTAAAATTAACAAAACTAAAATACAGAGATACAAAAAAAAAATTGGAACAAAATTGCAAATGTTTAGTGCGATTAACAACCAGAAAATACAAAAGAGAAAAACTTCCTCATTAATCTGGTTTATGGGTCAATTTTTTTTGTTGTTATTTTTAAAATCACACACACGCACACATTTATGCTTATATATCACTTATGAATTGAATCAATGTCAAAACAGAACGAAAAAAAAAACAACAAAACATTTTAATGTGATTCAGTCCACTTATATATACATGACATGATGACTAAAGACAAACAAGTACACCATCACCGCGAAAACACAACTATGATGATGATGATGACCAATTGATTGGTTTCTAATTCAACAACAACAAAAAACAATACCAAAATGACATGACATCGAAATTATTTCAATGTAAATGTCAATGATGTGAAAAAAAATATATGTGATGAAATCTATTTTATTTCATCAACTTTCTCTCTCTCTCTCTCTCTCTCTCATAATAAACAAGACGATAAAAAAAACCCAGGTACTAATGATGATGATGATGATGTATTCAAATGGATATATTTGGTTTTTTTTTCATATATATGATTGATACAAGACGATTGGACACACACACACACACACACCGAAACATTGGCAAGAACAAAAACACATAAACAATATAATTTCGTCAATCAGATGAAATTTTTTGTTCGTTTTGTTATTTTACGATTCAATGATGAAAAAAAAATTCGTGAGTTTGACATACATACATAAATTCATAATCGATAAATTAAATTTAAATTTTTTTTTCCAGTTTGATCAATGATGATGATGATGATGATGATTCAACCGGAACGAATTGATCGAATCAATATTTGGAATTTTTTTTGTTTTGTTTTGTTTTGTTTTGTTCACATATTTGACACATGCACAAACAAACAAACAGATGCAAGCAACCGGAAAAATGAAATTTTTTTTTTTTTTTTTTTTTGGGTTAGAGGTACACCAATTGTGCACAATTCGATGTAAAAAAAACGAGTAATGATGATGTGTGATGGCTAGCGCTATCTAGTTATTTCGTCTTTTTTTTCTGTTTCATTCTTTTACATGACAAATCTTAAAACATAAAAAAAGAAATTTCATCGATAAAAATAACTATTATCTACGATATCAGAAGAGAAGAGAAAGTGTGAAAAAATGAGGTGAATCAAAGTTTTTTTTTGCTGCTGTAGCAGAATAAGCTATATATTGATGATTGAATGTGGTGAAAATGAAATTTTTTTTTATTATTTTAAAATTTCAATTATCAATTTGGATTTTTTTTTTTTTAATGGCCAGAATAGCAACAGCAGCAATAATAACGACGACATTGACATTGATTTTTAATGCATTAGAAAATCACATGTGTGTGTGTGTTTGAAAGTTTTTTTTTGTTTCTTTGATTTTTTAAACACTAGAATTTTATCTGAAAATGTGAAATTAAAAACATAAATCACATATATTATGTATACATCATTTATGGCCGATTGCAATGATGATTAATGATGAATTAAAAAAATTCAAAAGCAAAACATAAAAACATTTTACACTTACATAAAACTAAAAACAAAACAAAACAAAAATCACAATTTTAAAGTTCATTGCGAATGAAAGCCAAAAAAAAAAAAATTCAAAAACATCGTCCACCCTTCTACATACATAGAGGGAGTACAAGTATTCCGAAAATTTCTTTGGAAAACTGGATTATCGTATATGGATCATCATGTAAATTCGAAAGAAAATGTCGAATATTTCAAACATTTTTCTCTTTCAAATAAACAATCTTTATATGTTGTCAGTCCATCACTCGATGATGATGAATCCATCATCTTGTACATGTTATGGTATATATCAAATTTGTTTTCATTCGGGTTTTTTTTTTTTTGATTAATAAAAAAAAAAAAAAATCAAATCATTATCTATCGATTGATACATCATGACATTGATTCGTGCAAAAAAAAATATGTCGCTTTTTATTATTATAATAATTGAAAGAAGAAAAATTCAATTATTCAAGGGCATGATGGCTTTACTTTTTTATTTTATTTCATTTTAACATAACATAAACGATTCCCATCATTATCATTACATTCATATTATCATTATCATCATCATTATCAAAACTTAATAATCCTTTGATGTATGTATGTCCAATGCAATTTAGCTGCCTTAGAATGGTGATGATAACAATTAAAAAAAAAATAAACAGACGACTACAACAAGAATTTTTGGCCATGATCGATTTTGGTTTTTTCTATTCATCATCATATCATATCATATTCAAAATAATCGATAAATCAAGGTTTTCGTACCATAACAATGAAAAAAAAATTGTGATTCAATTGAATTAATGGATCAATATAGAAGTGAAATTTCAAAAAAAAAAATTTATTTGCAAAAATCCGGAAGTAAAATACAAAAAAAAAAATTATCACAATCAAAGAAAGAGCAAAAATTATCATAAAATTAATATGAAAGAGTATATATCTGAAAAAAAACACTGAAATCAGCAATATTGTTCAAAATCACTGTATTCATTCATTCATCATTTATGGTTGTAAAAATGAAAATGATAAATTATTTTCAATAAAAAAATAAAAATAAAAAATAAATGAGTGGATGGCATTTAAAAGTGTTGAAATAAAAAAAAAACATTCCTAATTGTAGGAAATTGTACTGAATAATGACCAGAAATAGATGAGGACCAGATTTTGAGAAAAAAAAAATATGTTCCAATCATCAAAAAGTTGGAACCCATTGTTATCCGTTGTTGGGCAAGTTGATTTTGTCATCATTTCATATTTTCATCATCAATCAGATCATATATTGAACGAGTTGATTGTGTTATTTTAGATTCTCTACTCGATGATGATACACCACTACTACTACTGCTACTGCTATTTAGCTGTTGATTATCATACACTTCCATTGGATATAATTCTTGACATTGTACCTGTGATGAACTGGTCGATTTAACCGATCCACATGAACTAATATTATCTTCTTGGTCACCTTCGAATGGAGATCTTGTTGCCTGTCGAAAATTGATTCGATTATGTACATTACTCCAGGAGATGTGATCAGTACAGGTTTTGAATGCTGTAAATAGTAAAACAAAATATTGAAATTATTGAATCAAAAAAAATTCTAAATTCACTTACCACCATACTGTTGACGACTATCGGCAAATGGTTCACCCTGTAATGTCACCTCCATATTCATACGTCGTTCTTTGAGAATCTTTCGAGATATCTTGGAAAATAGATACAATTTTCGAATATATAGAAATACAATGATGATGAATGCATTGGTCAAATTGGCCACAATTGTTAAGATGAATTTTTCATGTAAATCTATAATAAAATTGATGATTAGATTTCCAATTTTAAAACTTTTACATATATAATAATTAATATAATAAACACATACGTAATGTGATTGTTGTAAGCCATCCAATCCATATTAAAGCAGTTATAAAGCTACAAACAAAAATCCATCTGGATTCTTGATTATTAAAAGTTTTTATCGTAAAAAACATGATAAAACCGAATAATATAACCAATAATGTTAATGGTAATATGAATTGTGGTTGTGATAGAACAAAACGATTCATATCGATAAATGTACAACGAGTGGATAGCATATCAAAAGCAGGACCAATTTGTAATTGATGCATAGTGATTAATGTTAATATTAATTGCATGATGACAAAAACCAATGATATGGAAATCTGCGCAAATGGTGTATTATATCGTAGTGTTGTGGTGGATTTTTTCAATAGAATCTGGCACCAATAATTATAGGATTTAACAAAAAAACCACTCAATACAATACAATATGCAAATGGTAGACCTATTATATTTAGTAAGGGAAAATTAGTCAAAAAAATTCAAATTTTTCAAATGTATACATACCAAATTGACGAACCCAGCACACTGTATGAGTGATTGGAAGTAAATAGGCAAAATTAATCAAAAAACAAAAAAATAATCCAACAAGAATCTGATAGCCAATAATGGTTGTACCCAATGCAACGGGAAATATAAGAATAAAATATAGAACACAAATCAAAACCATGATGATGCCCAACGTAGACAAGATCGAAAGAACAATGTACCATGTTCGATAAAGATTATTTTCACTGATCAATGATGATTGTAATGTATCTAATGTGAAATGAATAAAAATTATAGAATGAAAATCTCCAGAATCATTATGTGAATACTAACCAGAAAATAGCATATTAACACTTTTATTTTTACTTTGTGATAATTGTAACGTACAATAGTTACAGCTCATACGACATTTGATAACATGGCTACGGCCATTAATGTGTGTGGCCAAAAAATCCGAAATATTTGGCCAATTTAATGAATTAAAAAGGTTGATTGTTTTGGCCTGATTTGATAATATTTCAACTTCATAATGATTATCTATATTGATTTGTTTATAATCATTTAGATAATAATTATTATTGCTTAGATCTTCGATTATATTTTGTTTTAGTTCATTTCGTAGATGAAAATTGTATAGACAAAGTTCATCGAACTGTTGTTGTTGTTGTTGTTGTTGCTGCTGTGGCTGCTGCTGCTGCTGCTGTTGATTTGTGGTCACATTTAGACATTTATTGGCCACGAATTTTGTTATCGATGTACTCAATGTTTTACCAAAATCCATTAATCGTTTAATATCTTTGATATTCAACATTGCTTTACGGGCATATTTACTATCAAAACATTTTGAATCATGTTTCTGTGTATACGGTGAACAATGAAATTTTCTTTGCCAATATTCATGTAGCCAATTATTGATCATTTTATTTCCTACTCGTTTATGATTGATATTAAAATATTTCGATAAATCATCTAATGCCATGGTCATTTCTTGATCAATTGAATGATCTTTTTGATAACGTTTCAAAACGATAGCATATTCAACACTTTTTCGATAATTTTTCAATGAATTTGTTGCCGCTGTTTTTAGATATTTATCACCAATCCATATATAACGATCTAGAATATATTTAGGTGAATATTTGATAAGAAATTCATTGATATCCGTATTGGTCAATAGAATTATGATGTTTGTATCGAATGTCTGTGTGAATGATTGCCATTCGTTGGCAAATAATGGCCTTCCAATATCTTTTATGGTAATCTGTATGGTTTTATCCACACAAATATTCATTTTATTTGCTTCAAATTGAAAATAATTTCTAACAAATTCATTTGAATAGACTATATTGATTGTCGTCCATTTCATTCGTACACAAAGATCAATAATCAAACGTGATGTTAACATTTGATGATTTTTTTTCATATCAAGCTCAGCCACATTATTTTCATTGTTTGTAAAGAAAAAATTTTGCTTCTCATTCTTCGATGATTGATGGAAACTATAGACAAAAGGATTATAATCACCAAGAAGATTCAAAAACTGGTTCTTAAAACGTTGGCCAAGTTGATGAACAACATTATTATTATTATTATTATTATTTCCGTTGCCATTTCTATTACCATTGATCATCAAATTTTGTTCACCAGCTAGACTAAGTACGGCAACAACTTTGGGCGTAAAATTATAATCAGACAAAATGGTAGTCAATTTTTCTTCATTCAATGTACAAAGATCAAGTAAAAGAATATTTAAATTTGAAGTTGGAAGTTCATTTGAGGACAATTGTCGTTGTTGTTGTTGTTGTTGCTGCTGCTGTTGAAGTTGATTGTTTATGTGATCAAGTGAATAGTAGATGGCCATAAATTTTTCAAATACATCTATGAATAAAATAATAAAATTAAATTGAAAAAAATAATAATAAAATCGTTAATGGGTTATTACCTGGATTAATGTGGCCACAGGTACGATTCACGCCATTTGATGATCTTTCTATATCATGTAATGGTATGAATAATGCAATTGTTGCCTGCGCTAATTTCATTGGTAACAATGGTAATAATGTTTGATTCACTTGATTCATCTCTTTTAATGCTGCACATTCGTTTGAATTCTGACACAAGGAAATTAATTTCGAAAATGATACGGTTGTACCGTTAATTGCATTGAATTTTATTTTCATTTTTCCCATTTGTAAACCGTTCTCATAATCGAAACGGCCAATTTCGTTCCACATGAGCATATTATGATGTCGTTGCAGATGAAATATATTTAAATTTCCAACAAGATAATTGGATTTTGGTGTGAAACGAAATTGACTACCATCAAGACTGATGAATCCATTTTGTTTGATAAAATTATAAATCATTTGTGAATCTTGTCGAATATGTTGATGAAATTCTGGACACAGGCCACTATAGCTATCAGGACAAAGTTTTCTTCGAAGATATTCTAGGCCATGTGCTATGGCTACAACCGAATGTATTATATTTGTAGTACGTGAACTTATCGTTATATTTTTCTTTCTTAAATTTGTTTGAATCTTATTACAATTATAACCTTTACAATTGTTCACTTTTTCCCAATATTGTACAAACCATGGATTTTTTTGATTATTTTGTATGGATAAATCGAAAAAATATTCTTCAAATTCCGTAATAATATGTTCATCTGGTCCTAAACTAATAGCATTTATCATTGTTTGTGATTCTGGTTGTTGTCTTGCAAATTCTTGGAGAACATTTTGTGAATCAATTGTCACAAACATTACTTCATGTGATTGTAATCGGCCACTTTCTTCCAATTGTTCACCATTAAATTCAAGAAATTTTCTTAGATTTTCCGGTGATAAAAATGCAATGACTAAACGTGATCCAATTTGAGCAAATGATTTCAGATTCTTAATAGTGTTAGGAATATTATTCTCATTAAATGCTTCTTTTGTTGCAATTTGTATACCATTTTGTTGTGCTTTATGTTGAAAATATGAAAATGCATCCACATGACGATAGGTGACGAAATTATTATTTTCATATAATACTGAAACATAGGTCCATGAATATTTTTTCAAAAAACTAATCATTGCATCAACATAGATATTATTTGGCAATGAAAACCCAAGAAATTGTGGATAATGACGAATATCATTATATTTGATTTCACGTGCATCGGTTGCCAATACAGACATATTCAATGGTTTTGTTAGATCCAATACTGAATCAATAACTTTTGTTGTACTACCATCGACAATAAAACCGGCTAATGATTCAGAATTTGGTATCTGAACTTTATAATCACCAAGCAATAAAGAATTACTTAGAAAATTTGAAACATCACGATAAATTTTCTGATATGATGAACAAGTGTCAAAGATTAATGTACCAAGATGTACACCGGGCAATATATTCGTATCTTGATTAATTAAATCAATAGTCCAAATGAATGCTTCAACATTTTGTATATTATCGAATATCGTTTCATTTCGTTCACATATGAATGGATTTTGTGTTGAATGTTGGTGTACATCGAAAATACCGCTAACAATTAGATTATCCCATGATGGCATATAAATAAATTCCGGACTTTGTGGTTCACATTGAATACATTTCTTTAGATTTATACAATCTGAACCAATAAATTCAGTTTCATTATATTCTTTATGTCCATTTATGAAACCATTGAATTTATAGAATATATAACGAACATTTGGATTCTTCATCAATGCCTGTTGATTATGATTATACAAGGCAACATTATCGAAACGAAAAAATCCATTTGAATGATCATGTTTAAAATTCAATATTTCTATATCTCTAGCCGATGAACCATCGGTAGCGAATTCGAAAATGTCAAAATTTTCACTTTTAAATTTTTTATCCAACTCTGAATCGATACGCATTGAACGAGTATTGAGAATAAATTTGAGAAGATTACGATGAAAATCAGCGTAAAGCATTTCATTACAGATTCCTTTTTCATTTGCACAGGTTTGATTACGCATTCGTGCGAAACCTTTTTTTTGTTACCAATTGTTGTTATTGTCGTTGTGGTTGATATATTTGAAAAAAACGGGGAAAAAATAAAAATAAAAAAAATTGATCAATCAACAAAAAAAAATAAGGTAGGCATAAAAATAAACTAAATTTTTGAATGAAAATTGTAAAGATTTCGAAAAAAATTATCGATGAATACAAACCTCCAACAATAGATAAAATTGCTTGCATTGTATTTGTCGTGATCGTTTTATCGAACGATGAAATTGTACGTAAACATTGTTGACTATTCACGCCACATTGTTTAATAAATTGATGTAACAATTTATCTTTTATTCTCGACGATGATAAAGTTGAAGTCGATGTCGATGATGATGATGATGATGATGATGATGATGATGGATTGGAAACAAGATCCAAAAAATGATTGTCAAAATGATTTATATTGCCAATCGATTCACGTATAAAAATAGAACCCAAATACTCTTCTTCAAAACCATAAACAAGTTCAAGATTTTGATCACGTACAATTATGAAATGTAAATTGTTATTAAAATTATGTTCATTGTTGTTGAATTTATTGTATGATCGATATGATTGCATTAGATTTATTGTATTCACATAATTGGTGAATAGAATGACAATGTTTGCTCCATTTTTATGATTTTCGATCAATTTATTGACAGTAGTATTACCACCATTACCATCAACAAATTCTATTGATATGAAACAAATTTTTTCCTGTATAGCCATCTCTTGAAAATGATGATACATTGACGATGAAACTAAATCAGTTGGATCGATTACTATGGATACATAACGCCAACCAAAATATTTCAATTGTTCAATGGTTGTTTTAATCAACGATTGACTTGTTGTTGCTGTTTGAAGTATACCATGTTTTGGACCAAATGGAAAATCCATTATTGATATATCTTGTGTTGCAATCAATGTATAATTAATAGATGATACAAATTCAACAATTTGTTTATAATGATCACGTGGTAATGATGATACGAATGCAATTGGTTGAACTTTTGCATCTGAACTTGTCAAATGTGCTAATTCTTGTGTTGCATAGAATGGTGATGAACAAGTATCGATTAATTCTAATTTTATTTCAATACCCGGTATAAGATAATTATTTTGATTGATTTTTTCAACAATCCATTTGGATGCTTCATAAATATAATATGCAGGTAAATTAAGTTCCGATGAACAATCCAATATAGAGCTACCAATTTTATGTAAAGGAAGTAATAGACCAAGTGTAATTTCATATGTTTCAACATGCATCATTGATACATCTTCATTCGGTACCATTTCTTCATCTTCATTATTGTTGCTAGTGGCCACTACATTATTTTTTTCATCATTTAATATAGAATTTGTCTGCGGATGATTATGATGATGATGATGATGTCTATGATTTAAATCTTCGTGACTAGTTTTATCATTATTATGATTTACATCTTCATCATCACTAGTATTACTAGCCAAATCATCATCATCCAACATTGCTTGTGTACGTGATTGACGAAATTTAATACATGATTGACAATCATTATTATTAATACAATTACTTTGATCCAATGAATAATCAGCATCAACAAATTTAAATTCATTTCCATTATATAATAATAAATCTTGATAATGACCCGATTTATCTATTGAACTAAGACTCATAACAGGCATTTCAACTTTATCTTCTAGATCGCTTAGATAATTGAAAAATAATTTCCGTTCAAATTGGATAAGATCATCACACCAAAAATCGGTGATTGTCGTTCGATCACTATTGTTATTGTTATTGTTATTATTGACACAGATATCATTACGTGCTAGATTAAGTGCAATTGACATGAATACAATATAACGTATTGGTGAAAATGAAAGCCAATTTTTCCAAATGTCATTATTGAAATTTTGGTCATTAATATTGAAACAATCCTGTGTGTGTGTGCGTTTATGTAATCAAATAAAAAGAAAAAAAAATTAAAACATTCGATTTGATAAAAAAAACTCAATACAATAAACCATAATCAATCAGTTATTGATTACGTAATTGCATCAAAAACAAAAAAAAATCGAGGAAAAAAATCCAACTAACCTTTGTCTCTTTCAATAGTGGTACATCTGGTAATTTTGATGTTAAAGTCAATACTTTGGTTGATTGCGATAAATATTGCAGGCGAATCAATAGTTCCGGTGATGGTATGATTGTAAAGAAAAATTGATGATTTTGTATCTGTTTATCATAATTTTTTGACAATAATTCCGTTATACGTATCAATTCATTTTGATCACTTGATATGACCAATATCGGTATTCGTTTGGCCGGATGAAATATAGCATTAATGAATGTATAAAGACGTTGTTCAAATTGTGACCAAATAATTGTTTCATCTAATTCATTATTGATTGTAGGCAATTCTAATAAATCGCTAATGCAAATTTGTTCATTATGAGTCAATTGACCTAGTATTTTGACCTATTAATAGACAAAGAAAAATCGATTATGATTATTGATGATGATGATGATGATGATGATGATGGCAAATGTTCATGTGAAATTTTCACACAATACTTACAATATACAATGAATCTTCATTACGTGAAGTGATTATGGAAAAATGTTTCCATTCAAGTATATCAAGCAGATTGATGATTAAACTGGCACGAAATGGTGCGGTCAAAATTGATTCGGATGTTGTTAATGGTATTATTGGTATATGTTTATCCAATGCTTCTTTATTGTTCTTATCAAATATTTGTGCACCATCGATGAATGCTAAATCATGTACTATTGTTTGTTTCGTTTTGATTCTCATTCGTTCATCATCAACATCATCATTAATAGATTGTTGTTGTTTTTTAACTGGTACACATTTCTACATACAAAATTTTTCATTAATTCGGAAAAAATTTTGATTTAAAAAAGGAAAATAGAAAAAAAAATAGTTAATTGAAAAAAAATTTCATTTCTTACGAAACACGTGCAATTAACAACAAAAGAAAAAAAAATTGAACAACAACAAACGTACCAAATGTTCAACATGATCAAAAGACTGTCGTTGATGACCGTTGCCACCACCAACAATGCCATTATTATCATTATTATTATTGATGAAAATGATTTTAGCACCATAAGTGACTCGTTGTTTATTCATTTGTCCATTTCTATTGTTCATTATCGAAGAGAACAATGGAAATAGATTCAATATCGATAATGATGATGATGACGATGATGATGGTGATGATGATGATGATGATATTGGCGTTGTTTGATTATTATCATCGCTTGTCGTTGAATGTTGATCGTTACCATTATGTTGGTGATGATTTAATAGATTTAATGCATATTTTATTGCATTTAAATATATTAATGAATCACGTTTCTGTATTGTATCCAGACGACAATCGAATGCAGGAAGAAATACTGTAAAATATATATCAGCATCTTGATTGACATATGTAATATTCGTTGTTGTTGTTGTTTTATCGATTGAATATAGATGATTCGAAGCGGTTTTCAATTCAATTAAATATGATAATGGACATTCAACATTTAAATCATCAACAACGACACCTGTTGGATCATTATTATTGTTCATATGATATCCATAGACAACATCTGGAAATGGCATTATCGATAACAGTAATAGTAGTAGTAGTAGTAGTAGCCATAATAATGATAATGGTAGCCATAATATGTAAATGAACTTTGGTTTCATTTTTTCTTCAGTTTATTATATTTATAATAATATTGAAAAAGAAAACCGACCGGGGGAGTAAAGATGATGATGATGAAAAAAAATTTCTTCTTTGTTGTTGTTGTTGTTACAATGAAGGTGAATGTCTTGAACAACAGCAACAACAACAAAAATTCAATTGAAATGAAGAGGCGTTAACGGTAATGATTGCCGTTATGGACATTATGATAATTTCATTCACATTTGCAAAATACAAAACAAAATAATAATAATAATAAGAAAAAAAATGGTCGATGGTCAAATGGTTTTGCTCGAATGATTTTATGCTTCGTTGCAATTGTTGTTCATTACTTGTTTCATTCTATTATTATTCTGTCTTATGGATCACGATCATCATCATCATCATCATTTTCATCTTCATATAATGATTATAATTGACATTTAGCCAAGAAAATAAAGAAAAAAAAACTTCAATAATACACTAATTCATCATCTTATCCATTGTTTCTTTGTTTGTTTGTTTGCTAGTTTATTTGTTCTGGATTCATTCATTTTATGTGGAAAAATTATATAAAGCTTATATAAGTCACTTGTTGCTGTTTGATTGTTATTATGATTATCATTCCATTTCATTCGGCATTTTATAACCTGGAATAAGAAACAAAATAGAAAAAAAAATTGTTAGTTTTTCAAAGTAGAAAACGAAAACAAAAACAAAAACGAAAAATTAAAGGCAGAAAAATGATGTAAAAGATGAATATATATAGCTGTTGAATCCATGTTGTATTAATGATACATATCTAATTATATGAAAGAAAGAAAAAAAAATCTTTCTACAAGAAAAAATTAAAGGAGAAATCGGTCAACAAAAAACTGATTGATGCACATATCAAGATTATATTTAGAGTGAATGTAATCATCATCATCATCAACATGATCTTGATCCAAAGAGAACAAAATTACATTCAATGATGATCAACAAAAAAAACAGGGAAAAAAATCAAGATTTTCCATTTCACCATAGTGATCCTGAAACAAATTTTTTTTTTGTTTCGATATTTGTATTTAATTTTTTTTTTCCTTTCGTTTCGTTTTGTAATTTATGTTTATGTTTATGTTTTTCGAATGAAAAAATTGCAATTTTCTCTCTTTCTCTATACAAATTCACAATTCGACATCTAGCAAAAAAAAAAATATGATGGTGGTGATGAGATTATGATTGATGAATGAATGTTTACATGTCAAAAATCGCATATTTTGTTGGTCATTTTGGTCATTATAAATACTATAATATAGAAAAAACAACAAGAAAAAAAAATCTAGCAATATATTTTTTTTACACCGAAATAACATTGTTTTTCTCTGTGAATATTACTCGAATTGACTTGATTTGAATGTTTACACACACACCAATGATTGATGATTAGACCTGACTTGACAACCAAAATGAACCTGTCACAGGCTTTTTTTTTGTTTGTTTGTTTGTTGCTTAATTATATTTCCGGTTAAACACAGTGTAAGAAAATGAGTAAACAAAATGAATGAGAAAATAAAAACATTGACAACAACAAGGCCAAGCCAACAACAATTTGGCTATTCAATGATCATATTTACAGAAAAAAAACCATTGAAAACCTTTCGAAAAAAAAATATATACGGATATTCAAAAGGGTTAATATCAACTTTTTTTTTGGTCAAGTCAATGATCATCAAAAAAAAAAAAAAAAAATTCCAGAAACATTTTCTAAAAATACGAATGTTGAAACAGAAAAAAAGAGAAATAACAAGAAAATAGAAAAAAAAGGTCGTTTGATCAAGTTTTTTTTTTGTTGTTGATTCAAAATCTAAATCGATGCACACATATGGAAGATGTTTTTGTATGAGTAACGATAATCATGATTTTGAAATTTTTTTTTATAGCGAAAAAAATAAAACTCTCTTCGTTCTCTCTCACTTAATTCACTCACCTGAAAGAAAATGGTAAAAATCAACAATTTTTTTTTGTTTTTCGTTGTGAATTTACTTGTATAATTTACAAATGATAAATTTAGAAAATGTTTTTCCATATAACTGAACTGATGAAACTTGTGTGTGTCACATATATATGGTGATAAAAGTTTGAACCACACACACACACACATATGAAAGTTCATATTTAGGATTGATTGGAAAATTTTTCAATCAATCAATCAGATCGATTCAATGTCAAAAACTATTTAATTGGAACAAATTGAATTCAATTAAATTTTCATCCACTGAAAACAAAAACTTTTCGTTTAAATTCATAAAGTTTTTGTTGTCGCCAAAATGGCCAAAAAAAAAATTATCCAAATTTAGGCAAAAAAAAATCTCTCTGGCCTCATTCAACTCTCTCGTTAAGACAAAAAAACAAAAAAAAAAATTTTTTCTCTCACTTTTTTTTCGCCACTACTGCTATATAGTTGTTTTTCATAAAGAAATGATATAGACAATGATCAATACCGTGAAAATTATTGAACAGATTTTTTTTTTATTTTCTTCACTTCTACTTCCAATTTCTTGGATGGCCATTACGAATCGATATCTTCTAGCCATGGCCATGACCAAACAAACATACACACACACACACGGACACAGACTAATGATGATTATAATTCAAATTCGTATGTATTGTCAATCATCATTATCATCGCTTGATTATTGATCACTTGCATACACACACACACACACACACACAAATATACTGCTTGAAGCTATTTGGTGTGTTTCATGACAAAGATGAATCGATGTTAAATCAAAGAATGGCATCCGGAATAAGAAAAACAAAAACTGATTGAGTGTGATTGAATGTTCAAATGTGATAAAAAATACAACAGGTGTCAATATAATTTTTAACTATTTATTTTTCTCACTAAATTTTTACAGCTAGTTACGGTATTTCTTTTTCTTATTTTCCCTCTCCCCTCCCCCTCCACTCACACACACACATATAATACAACAATGACAGATCGAATGACAGGATTTGTTTTTTTTTATTCATTTTTCTTTGTTCATGTCAATTCCGAAAAACGGGAAAGACTGTCTCCGGTGTTGTTTTCCGTAGTATGGAAAACCAGAGTTTTTTTTTGTCTATTCACTACTATAATTACAGAGGTGTCAATGTAATATCAGCCAAGCAAGTTTTGTTTGTTTGATTGATTTGACAGCCAATCGATTTTTCTTAGTTTGATTTGAATTCGAATTCGAATAACAAAGAAAAAAAAATATCATCCATTTTGATGAATTTAATTTGCAATTCAAAATTGAAAATGATGAAAATTTGCACAGATAAAGTTGATTATGGGTGGTAATGATGGTTTTTTTTATGGCCAACGACAATGACAAACATATCAATCAATGATAATTTTAATTCATTAGCTCCTTCAACCATTGTATAAATTATTTCACATACGATTAAACTTAGTTCTGGAAAATAAATAAATTCATTCATCAAATAAAACGAATGAAAAAAAATAGTTCAACTTAGTTTTTGAGGTTTTGTAATTTGTTGAAAATAAACAACATCACAGAAATGAAAAAAAAGGATTGATAAATGGAAATAGAAAAAAAAAATTCCAAGAAAAGATGAATTATTAATCGATGATGATAGAAATCTAATCGATGTCATCATCCAAAATCAAAAAAAAAGAAAACGATTCATTCATATACGTTGAATTGAAAATCGGACAAAAAACAAGATTCAAAAAAAAGGATAAAGATAATCATCATAATAATAATCGATCGATCGATTGATCGATCAAATGAATGGATGCATTCAATGTTTGATGGATTTTTATATGTTGTCGTGTTAATTGAATCCTTTACAGAAATATACCCATTAGTTTTATTTAGGTTTTTTTTTCTTACCCAATGGTATTACAATGATGACGATGGTAACGATAATCGTATATGATCATCATCAATAGCGATGGTGATGATGATCAATAAATCCAAACCGAATCGATTGTAAACGAGTTTTTCTTCTTGTTCTTGTTCTTTTTCTTTTATTCATTCACACAATTCTTTCTCACAATCACTTCTTTTTCAATCGATTGTGAATTCGAATTTATATATGAAAAAAAAACACATGATGATTATGATGATGACCGTAATCATCGGGTTTTTGTGTGCCGAACAACAAAAAAATGACAAAAAAAAAACAACACGAAGAACATACAAGTCATTTATTCAGATAATTTTTTTTCTGGTAACATATACCCACACAAAAGAAAATTATTTTCGAATGTCAATATATGTTCTTCATACTATTTTTACCCATTAAAATAGCCCAAGGTTAAAATGGAAACGAAAAAAAGATTTTGATTCGAGGCATTTTATTTGGAGAGTAGAACAAGTTCAATTTGAAATCACCCAAAATATCCATCATTATCATCATCTCATTTTAATTAGTTATATAGTGATCGATTAACGTTTTTCGAATGAATGTTTTGACAAAAAAAAATTAAGTTCAAACAAAAACCTTTGGCTGCCGAATTAACATTTCATTCATTATTATTCCAATGACCACAAACAATATCTGAAACGAAGAAGAAAAAAAAGAAGAAGCAGAAAAAAAATCTCATCGACATTTACAATCCGTCATTTTTTGTTTTTTCTCAAAATCCTTCTCAATAAGTGATTCGAATAAGGAGAAAATTTGGAAAAATAAAATTCACCTGAATCCATGGTAAGTGCAATCATCATCATCATCATCAACAACGAACGAACGAACGAACGGAAAAAAATCAGGTTATTCACTTGTTCATCATCATCATCATCGTTGTATAATCCCACCACCAAAAAAAAATTTCATACATAACAACAACAACAACATGCCGGCGGATAGTGTTTTTTTTCCGAATTATTTTTTCTTCTCTTACATAATAATAATGATGATGATGATGATAATATAAAAAAAATTGTGTGAGCTTTTTTTTATCGGGCAAATAAACGTCTTCGATTGAATGAATAAAATAAAAATTGGTTACCATACATTTCAAGGACGTCAAACAAACAAACAAACAAAAAAATCATATATGATACC